TCCCTAGGACACTGGGAATGCACATATTTTTGGCCACTGGAGATTGGTATGATCAATATGAGATAGCAGAAGATCAATCATGCTAGTGGCTTTGTTGGACAGCCAGCAGTCCCCCTTTATAGCCAAGGAAAGCACAACTAGGTTGGGGCAGGTATGTTTGCTCATGCCTGTCTGAATATGCAGATTTTATTCCAGACTTCCAGCCTGAAACAGCCCAAAGGGGACACACAGGGATCAAAATAAGTTTTGAAGTCTTTAAGAATATTCTTCTGTCCTCTGCCTCCCCATGACAATTACCTCTTATCCTAATGATTCACTCTTTTACTGCTAAATAGCTTGTGAGAAGAGATACAGAAACATGCCTCTCTTTCCTCTTTTACCCCAGAGACTTGTTGCCTGGAACCATTCTGCTCAGTGTTAACACTTGATCTCAGATTTTGGGTGCTAAAACCCCATATCTTGTGGCAACATCTCTTCATCTGCAGTGACCTCTACTCAGGTCTCCTTATCTTCCATCAGCAAAAACCTGACAAGAACAGCTCCAGGGCTGGCGGGCAGCTCAGGGCAAGTAAAGGTCGTTCCAGAGGCCAAAGGAGGAAGGAACTAGGCCAGGTTAAGGGTTGGTCAGGGAGCATTGAGCCAGGTCACAGTCATCCTTACCTCCCTGCAATACAGACTGTAGAGTCTGCACTATGGGAGTGGGGAAGGGACTGGGATCTAGTGTGTGTAGGCTGGTAATTGTGATGCTTTATCTGTTAAGGTTAGGCTATTCACCCTCTGGGCCCCAGGAGCATTGGACCCTGGCATTCCGAATTACATCTCATATCTCTTATTGCATGGAAAGGTACAGAAAACTGAGAGTATGGTACCACACTTTGCCCTAAACCCCTTCTCTCTGGGCTATATGCCTCATTTCTGGCCCCAGCACTTTGATTCAGGGTAAACTTTCAAATTTCAAATTTTGATTCAGGGTAAACAAGGGTAAACTTTCAAATTCATCATTGGAATCAGACTCTGGGTTTTTTGTTTGGAAGGGGTAAATTCCCACTTTCTGTGGTGGTCTCTACCCAGGTTTCTTTATCTCCTTATTCCATGGGGCCAAGAGCAAGGGCTGACTCAGGTGAGGCATGACAGAAATGATCAAATATTGACCTACAGAAAGATCCATAAGTGGTGAGGAGGACTGGTTGGGGGTAGAGAGAGGGAAAAAGACAGGGAATGGACTGAGAGGGTGAGGAGTGGGTTAGGCTGAGAAGAGAGGGAACAAGGGCTTGAACTGTTGTTGGAGGGTAAAGTGGACTGAAGTGAAGAACATTTGAGAGGTGAGCATTTGCTGAATTGAGTAGGGGAGCAGAGGAGTGTCTGGATACCTGGAGGGCTTGCTGTGTTTCAGTGATCTTGTATCAGGGTGGCTCAGTGATCCTTTCTATGGGAAGGCAGTGTGTCACTCTCTGGTAATAATAATAGCTAACAAAGCACTTTATACATATTGTCTTATATGAGCTTCGCAACAGCCTAGTACTGATTTGCCTAGGGTCATACAGCCAGTAAGTGTTAGACCTGTTCAAACCTAAGTCTTCTTGGCTTGATGCCTAGCACTCTGTACACTATTCCAGGATCCTTCTTTAGAAACTGCTTCACAGTTTCCACTGAATGAATAGAGGTAATGAATGCTAGAGAAAGTATATGGCATAATGAGGCTGGGGAAAGGGGGACATATTAGAATGGAAATCAGTTGTCAATCTATTCCCCTAAAGCCCCATTTACCACCCCAGTAACTTTCTAGACCAGTGTGCCTCTCCCTGCCACCAATTTTCTTTGAGTGTGATTTTTCCCATTAGAATGTAAACTCTTTGTGGGCAGGGACTGCCTTTGTTTTTGTATTTGTATATCCAGTCCAGCATAAGTACTCTCTCTAGCATTCATTCCCTCCTTTTGAACACATTTTGTATCTTCTATCTCCCCATTCCTTCTTAGAATGCAGGCTAAAGTATGGTTTCCTGGCATTTATTTGTCCCTTGGGCTCCAAAGGAGCAGTATGGGGTTCTGGGTCTCACTACCCAAGGTGGGCTTGGGGATAGCATTTAACCCATATTAACTGCATATAATAGATGATGATAGATTTAAATCTATTAGGTAGGCATCTCAAAGGTTTAGTCTGCCTCCCCTTCCTTTTACAGAGGAGGAAACTGTACCCTAGGAAAGCTAAATGACTTGTTCAGGGTCACTCAGTTGTAAGTGGCAAAGCCAAGATTCCAACACAGCTCCTTCAATGTAAAAAAAAAAATCAGCATCTCAGGTAGAAGATAAAGGAGACATGGCCAGATAGCAGGCTTTGTCTGAAAAAGACTTTGCCCAGGATTGGTCTTATTTCAGAATATAGGATGCAAGCATAATAAAACCAGTCTTTAGACCTTCTGAGCTCCTGTACCCAAGACACCTTTGCCACCTCTACCAGCTTGGTCAGGGCTTTCTCTGCAGCTCTCTCTTCCACTGAACTCAGGCCCTCTTTAAAGCACTCTGCTGGAGAGTGAGAATGATCTCACCCAAACTGCAGGTGCAGGCCTGGCCCAGTAAACCACAACAACCAGAGTCCTGTGCAAGGCACAATATACCAGAGCCCCGCAAAGCTTTTCAGATCAGGGATAAAGGATGATTATTTGTTTAGCATCATTAGCAGGAGCCCAAGGACTCGTCAAAAGCAAAGCAAAAACTTTTGTATTAAGGAGATTAAAATGTAAACTCAGCTGAGAAGGCTCCACGGCATTCAGTGGCTTTGTTGTGCCTGGCATTGTGTGTGATTATATGCAAATCAACAGGAGGCCTTGGTTGGGGGCCTGGTCTCTGAGCTTCCCAACAATTTAGGGGCTGGGAAAGCAGTGAGTAAGGAGGAAAGAGTCAGCAGCCATCTCCAGGTTGCAGGGCCCCCAGGGAAGGGAAGCCCCCCTCACTGGAAAGAGGGCCCTAGTCATTAAAGTTTCAAAAATATGTTTGTGTTATCAACAGAATACTTCCTATCGAAGCAATTAGTGAGCTGACGTGGATGCTAACAGTGGTGCAGTGGTGGTTCGAATGGAGAGGGGCAGCAGGAAGAGCATGGGATTTGGACCCAGAGGGCTTGTGTTTGAATCCTGGCTCTTCCTTCCTTATTGCCTGTGTGACTGATCACTGAATTCTCTCTGGGCCTCAGGTTCTCCATGTGTAAAATGAGGTTGTTGGACACAAATGAAGTCCAACGTCTTTCTCCAGCTTCTCATCTTATGATCCCACGTCTGCATGGTCAGTGTGTCGTGACTGGTGAAGCCACCAGCTGGTGATTAGTGGTGTAGTGGGATTTTTCCATGTGTGCCAGCTCAGTGTGGCATGTGCTGTGGATATCTTGGCGTTTTGTAGCATACTTCCTTTGTGACGCGTCCTAGTCACAGGTGTTGTCCATGCTGACATTCTTTATTTTCCTGGGAAGTGCCGAAGATGGGAGTTGGTTTAGAGTTGTTGGACAGACACAGTCAAGGAGCCAAGTCCTCCTGGATCTTTTGGGTATGTTCCCACAGTGTCTAGTTGCCTGTCCTCTTCTCTACTAGTTAGTATTCAATATACCTTTTTTTTGTGAGGCAATTGGGGTTAAGTGACTTACCCAGGGTCACACAGCTAGTAAGTGTCGTCAAGTGTCTGGTCAGAGAGCAGATTTGAACTCAAGTCCTCCTGACTACAGGGCTGGAGCTCCATCCATAGTGCCATCTAGCTGTCCCTCTATCCATATACATTTAATAAGTTTCTACTCTATGTCAGCAACTGCTATGTCGGTGACCTTGAGAGGAAAGTGGTTGATCAGAGGACAAGTAAAAGACATCCTTCTAGATGCAGGTGGACTATTGATCATTGTGAAGCATTGCCTCAGAGATTTGCCTCTTTCACAAACACACATTCTCAGGGCCCAGTTCTTTCTCTCCCTTCTGGGCCTTTGCCAGGGTATCTGAAACTCATTCAAAATGAGGCTCATTTTTGAGTCCATTTCATTGGTTTGCTGTCTCTCCTTGCTCCACTAATGGCTGTACAAGAGAGCCCTAGAACTCTCCTCTAGCATCAGCTATGGCATAGTAATCTTCACCCATTTCTATGCTCCTTAGCATTGGGATTGACATTAACATCTCCCAGTCTCAACTTCTGGGTCCTGAGAGTGTTGGGAGTTAAGAGGCCAATGGAATCCCCAACCCCCAACCAGCTTTAGCCAATGAACTAGTCCAGATATTCCTCTGGATTGATCTCAGAAAGTGTCCATTGAATCTATTCTCATGAGTTTTCAAACTGATTTCTGCAAGAAAAAAATAAGCACACAAAAATATTATATCATGTATCCATTGACAGTCTATTAGAAATTAGATTGCAAGTAAAGGAAGAAAAAAATTATAAGAAAACTACCTACTCACCTTCTTTCTCCTGTTTGAACTTCTTTTCCAGGTTTCTGTTGCTTCTGAATATCACAAGTATGGGGAACATTAGTAGGGCTCCTGGGACCAGTAGAGGGAGAATGCTGAAATCAATCTTCGGGAAGAATTCTGAACATATAGATGATAAGAATTATCTGTCTCCATTCCCTAGCCTTTGTTTTTTGTTTGGTGGCTCCATGAGGGTGGACCTTCTAGGCTTTGATGTGTAGAAGACAGAAATATCATAGTCTTTAGGGATCTGGCCCCTTTGGACTATCAGAGGGATGAATTTGTCTTTGAAGGTGGGAGTGTTGAACAGTCAGGTGATAGGATGTGGGGAAAGTGTGCATGTGCGCGCGTGTGTGTGTGTATGTGAGTGTGTATGTGTGTGTGTGTGTGTGTATATATGTATGTGAGTGTAACTAGAATGGAAGGACAGCAGCCAGGCAGGAAGAGCCACAGATGATGGAGTTGAAAGGGAACTTTGCAAGGATATTGTCTTCAAGTTGGGCTGGATAAAAGAGGCCGCCAGACGGGGCTGTTCACCTGCTTGGCTTTTGTTCTCTCCTGCAGGGTCTGCTTTACACACCGCCCATGGGAAGCATGCTGTCTGCCATCTGCAGGAGAAATTCAACAAACACCCACACGCGAGCCAACGGAAAACTCTCAGCAAAACAAACACTCTGCTGGGGAGATCCCAGCCGGGCCAGGCGGCCCGCATGTGTACAGAGGGCGGACAAGGGAGCACCTGCCCCTGCAGCCACTCCTTTTACCAGCGTCCTGGGCTGGCCATCAGGAAGTTACCAGGGTCAGGTGAGTTCTGTGCCTCATCCCATCAGCCCTGCCAGGTGAGAGACTCTTATTCTGGGCTCAGGTTTGAAAAAAACTGGGCTGACAGTTGTTCAAAGCATCAATTATTAATATTGCTAATGACAGCAATGTAGCATAGTAGATAGGGAAGTGGTTTCAGAGCCTGGGAGATAGGGCTTCAAGGCCTGGTCCCAGCATACACTGGCTGTGTCACACTTGACAAGTTTCTTAACTTCCCATTGCCCCTGGCAATTTCTGAGGCTGTAAGTTGCAAAGGAGGTGCTGACCTGCCTTGACAGAGGGAACTTCCTCACCTAGGAGTTCTTATATCTGGGAAAGCACAGGTCTAGTCCCTATCCCTATTATTAATAATAGCAATAATAGTGATGATGGTTGCTTGGTAAGGGCACAGGAGATAATCATAACTGTAATCCCTCCTAGCTTGTAAAATGAGGGGCATCTCCTACATTTACACCCACTGGGCATTGGCTTTCATAGGTGTGTCCTGTGCCTGTACAGACATTGCTCGGGAAGCCCCTCGCTTAGTTCCTGTGACAGAACAAGGAGTGTTGTGAAGGAACCACCTCTGGACTTGTAGACTCCACCCTGATTCAATGAGGAAACTTAGGATAGAGATGGGAGGGGCATGGGGAGGGAGTGCTGGCCAGTGCTAGGAGGGACAAGGGTGGGGGGGTCTCACTTAAATACTCCATGACATTTTATTTTGGGATCCCTGATGTGGGACCATGTCCCAAGAGTCTGTTCTCTCTTCTTCTCCCTGTGGAGTTTGCCACCTTCCTCTCCCTACAGCCTCAATCACCTCAATCACTGATGGCTTCACCCTAGTGAGTGGCAGCTAGGAATGAGTGCCCAGGAACTCACAAGTGTGAGACTGGAGGCTTGTTTGCTCTTCCCATGGCCAACCCTGGTGGGCTGGACCTAGTGGTATTGTGTTACTCAGCCAAAGAATTCCTTTCCTCACCTCTTTCCATTTACAAATGGGAAACAAAAACCCAAGTGATCCTCCCCTGGCCCCAAGCCCATTGCCACAGACCCTTAAGTGTCATACTGGGGAAGCAACTTTCTTCACTGTTTAAGGTACATTCTGTCTGTAGGAATAAGGGGCTTTATCCTCCCCTCTCCCCTAGACTCCCTGCCCCAAAATTCTTTGTAGCCTCCTACCTCAAATAGGGATTTAGATCAAAGATCCTATAAAATGTCTCCCCAGGTGCCTCCATCCTCCTAGCTTCAGCCTTTGCATCCAGAGTAGGAGCTTTGATTTCCCTTGGCCCAGCTAGGGAAGGAGGTGGCTTTTTTCGTCCTCTGAGGTTCCTGCCTCAGTTCTTGATTGGGAGTGGCTGGTATACCTTAGGACAGAGAACTTTTTTTCAAGTTCAAACAAGGAGACCTTTTGCTCTTTCCTTTGTTGGGGGCTGATACCTCCATGATTTACCCCTGTCACCAAGTATGTCTCTATAACTTCTGAAACTCCTGGAATTGCCCTTTTGAGGTTGGTCAGAAAGAGGGCATATCTGGGAGGCCTATGTCTCCCTGGAGGGAACCTCTCCAAAGTAGACTGCTCCATCCACCAGCAAACCTGGAGGGAAAAGTGACCAGGTTCAGGTGAGGTCTGTATCTTTGATTGCCATTCATTCCATCAGGCCTGCCAGGTAAGGTGTTCCCATCCTACACTCAAGTTTGAAAATGCTATTAGAATGGCAGCTAGGTAGGAATAGTCACAGGACGAGTGAGTAGAAAGATAACTTTGAAAAAATTTTGTCAGTGGTTTGGGCTGGATAAATGGGTCCAGATTTTTCTATGTGTCTAGTTCCTTTGGGAAACTCCTGATTCTGTCTAGAAGAAGTAGAAAGAACATTGAACTGAGACCTAAGTTCTGGTTCTGGCTCTAGGTATTAACTTACTTTGTGGCCCTGAGCAAGTTGTGTAACTACCTTGGCTTTTAATTTCTTCATCTACAAAAAAATATGGGGCAGGACAAGATAGGCACGCTGCTGCAGAGTCAATGGGCTACTCTGTAGGAGAGATAAGACATAGCACTTTAAGGGGAGACCAGATGTGAAAGATAAATAGGTGGTAGAGTTGACAGGATGTGGTGGCTCATAAGGATGAATAAGAAGGATTAGCCAAAGGATGATAGGTTATGAATATCTGTGTTTGGGAGTATTTTAGATTGTCTCTCTTCATGAACTTTACATTACAGCCAAACTCGCTTACTTCCTCGACTTGGGATCCCATCTCCCACTACCATGCTTCTGCCAAAACTGTCCTTCAGGCTTGGAATAAACTCCCTTCTCTTTTCCATCAAGGATCATCATAACAGGTACTACCTCTTTCCTATAAAAAGACTTTCCTGATCCCCCCAATTAGTGCTCTCTCTCTCTTCCCTAATTATTGCATTGTAATATATTGTAAAGAAACCTAGATGTGGAATTAGGGGATTTGGAACAAAACCTTGACTCTGCCACTTACTAGCCATTAGATCTTTGGTAAATCACTTAACCTCTGTGGACCTCAATGTGGGAGCTGAACTAAATGACCTCTGTGGTTTCTTCTAGCTTTAAATCTATAGTCCAATGATCTGTGTAGTTGTAGTAGAATGTGATCTCCTTGGGGATAAAGATTATTTTTCATTTTGTCTTGGTGTGCTCAGGGTTTAGCACAGAGCCTTGTATTTGGTGGGGGCTTTAGCAAATGCTTGTTTTCTTTAAAATATAAATTTTCTTCTTTACTATGAATTTAAATACAAGCATTTTAAATACAAAGAGCAGAAGATGATTGTACATGAAATGATAAACTTCTCTTATGTAGAGTTGTTTAAAAGTATTAAATTTAACATAGTAGTAATAAAAGCTGATTTGCTTTGTCTGTGTTCTTTTCTGGACTTCCTTATTCTTTCTTTTGTGTAAATTTTAGATGTTTTATTGACACTTTTTTTTTCACATCATATCACTAGCCACCACGCCTCTTACCATCCTCTAATAGAAGCCCTCTTTTGTAATAAATAAGTACAGTTATGTTTAACAATGTATGTCTCTGTCCAAAAATGTATACTTCATTCTGGATCTTGAGTTTATTACCTCTGTCAGGAGATGGGTAGTATGCCTCAACATCAATTGTCTGGAATTGTGGTTGGTCACTACATTGAGTAAAGTTCTTAAGCCCTTCAAAATTTTTGTCTTTGCAATATTTTTGTTATTATATAAATTGTTCTGATTGTGCTCATTTTACTCTGCATTAGTTCATGCAAGTCTTTGCAAATTTCTTTGAAATAGTCCTTTTTATAATTTATCATGACACAGTGGTACAGAGTGCTAGTCCTGGAGTCAGGAAGACTCTTCCTCCCTAGTTCAAATCTGGCCTCAGGTACTTATTAGCTGTGTGACTCTTTGGGCGAGTCACTTAACCCTGTTTGTCTTAGTTTCCTCATGTATAAAATGAATTGGAGAAGGAAATGGCAAAGCACTCCAGCATTTTTGCCAAGAAAACCCCAAATGATGTCATAAAGAGCTGAACATGACTGAAACAACTGAAAATAACAACAAAATAATAATTTGTTTAGCCATTCCCACAAATGATGGGTACTCCCTTCATTCCCAGTCCTTTGCCACCACAAAAAGAGCTGCTGTAATTTTTTTTTTATACATATGAACCCTTTCCCTCTGTCTTTGACCTCTTTCAGATATATGTCTAGTAATGGTATCACTTGGCAAAAGGGTATGGTTTAGTTATATTTTGTTTATAGTTCAATTTGCTTTCCAGAATGATTGGACTAATTTACAGTGTCAATAAAATTGCTTTAGTGTGCCTGTGTTCCTGTAGCCCCACCAACAATAGTGAAATTGAATTGTTGGTACCATTGACAGAGACAAGGAAGGCAGAAAAGAGGATCTGGGGAAAATAAGTTCAGTTTTAGGTTTTTTGAATTTGAGATGCTGATGGTATATTCAGAAGAGGTATAGAGTAGGTAATTGGAGGTGCTAGTGTATAAATTTGTGAATGGTTCACATGGAGGTGATAGCTGAAGCCACATGAACCAACAAGATCATCATGGGAGAGGGCATAGAGAGAGAAAACAGAGCCAAGGATGAGTTCTTGGGGATAATTAAGGGAGATGGTAAGAAGATAGAGAGAATATATTAAAGAAGTAGAAGAGTCAGGAGAATGTAGGATACCCAAGAGGAGTTTAACAGTGTCACATGTTACAGAGGTAAAGTAGGATGAGATCTGAAAAAAAAAGACACTGGATTTGGGAATTAGGTTATCACTGTTGGCCTTTTCAGTTTTCAGTAAAGGAATAAATGAAAGATCAGCCTTTGTTGTATACAATGCTCAGAGATATGGTATCCTCACAGAATAGTCATCCTTTAGTTAGTTCTAGATGATAGAATCCCTTGAATATTTGACTTATTTTCAATCTCTGTGTTTTTGCCCATGTCATTACATTCACCAGTAATGACTGCTCTCCTCTTCTCCATCTATTAAGATCTTAATGCTTCTTCAAAACTCAGCATTTATTCATTCTGGAAATGTAATAGAATCATATAAACTTTGAATTTGAAGGGGCCTAGAGAAACACTTAGTCTAAATATCCATCCAAAGGGAAAATCCCTTCTATGTCATACCAGACAGATGGTCGTTCAACCTCTGCTTTAATATGCCCAGTGACAGGGAATGCAATAACTAGGATAGGCAGCTGTTTCCATTGTTGCACAACTCTCGGTATTAGAAAATTCTTTTTTATATTGAAAAGAAACCTGCTTCCCTATAACTTCTACCCACTGGTGCTAATTTTCCCCTCTGGACCAACATATGGTCCCCTTCAAAAATGTGAATAGTCATAAGATTATAAGGTCTAGAGTTGGAAAGGACCTTGGAGATCATCTTGATCCAAATGCATCATTTTACAGATGAGGAAACTGAGGCCCAAAGAAATAAGTTGACTTTTCCCAAGGTCATGCAGAGTAAGCATATAGCCAAAGTTCCAACCCAAATCCTTGACTACAATGTAGTTTCTCTTTCCATGATATCACATTTCATGTCTCAGACATTAGCCCCTTCCCCAAGTTTTTCTTTGCCATGAAAACTATCCTTAGCTTCTTCAACTATTTCTTATATTACTTGATTTCTGGACTATTCACCTTCTCTGGTTTTACTGGGCAGGACTTAACATGAGAAAATGGGCCTCTCTGGGAGGGAATTTTTTCAATAATACATATAATGGAAAGTCTTGGTTCAAGTCTCAGAACATATACTGACCATGTGAACTTGAGCAAATCATTTAATCTTTGTGAGCCTCAGTTTTCTCATCTGTGAAACAGAGATATTAATTCTTGCTTTACCTACCCCAAATAACTGTTGTGAGGAAAGTACTTTGTAAACTGCAAAGCCCTGTAACAAATGTGAACCATCATTGTCATCATCATCATCATCATCATCGTCGTCATCATCATCATTATTGAATTAGAAAAGCAGTTTCAATTGTTTATGACCCTTTGGTAGTTCTATCATCAACTTATTTGTCTAATGCATTAGTGAAGATTTCCCTATGTACCTTGGTCCAAACCATGTGATTTAATCACTGTATCCTCAGTCTTGTAGTAGTGGGAGAGGGGGAGGAGAGATCAGGAAAGCAGATGTTGTACTCTGTTTCATTGCTAGATGAGAGTCCTGGATCCAGTGGCAGGCCTGCCTGAGTTATCAATTGTTTCAACATTTGATACCAAGGCCTGGTTTCCTTGGTCCTGTCATATACCTTGATAGTTTCAACTTTGGACAACCCAAGCATGACCTGCTATTTTCTAACCATCTTGTACTTTTTCTTGCAGTCTTATATAAAACTCACATGTGGATTAGGAAGGGGAAGTTTTCATTTTGGTTTACATGATTTATTTTATTTAAGGATAAGAAATGAAAATGTTCCTATGATTTCATTGGGATAGGGAACTCCCAACGAGGAAAGCTATTGATGAGGTGAGCACCTTCTCCTGTGCTCTTTCTCTCAGAGTATTTGTTTCCTAGAGTATTGAGAAGGTAAGTGACTGGCCTAGGGTCATACGGCCAGTGTGTCAGAGGCAGGACTTGAACCTGGTCTTATTGGCTTTGAAGCCAGCTGTCCATCTACTATGCCATACGTTCCTTCTTTTTAGTTCTTTTGTTGTCATGATTTGGTTTTGTTTTTGGATCAGAGCTATGATTTCTATAGTGAACTCTTCTTGTGACTACCTCCTCTATCAATAAAAGTTGCTATCTATTCTGCAAATTATCACCTTAGAGAATTGCCTGGGACACTGAGAAGTTAAGTGACTAGCCTGTGGTCAAATACCTGGTATTGTCAGATAAAGTTCTCAAAAATCTTAACATTATTGCTTCCTTTTATTTCATTCTCTGAAGAAACATGAGCTCATGCAAACTCCTGCACCAAACCAAAGCTCTTGTTCCTCAGGGTCGTTGATAAGATGATAAAGTCTCCATCAATGTACACCATAATAAAACATCCATTAGGATATGTTGTTGTTTCTTTCCCTTGTTAAAAATGTAATCTCTTTCAGGGCAGGAATTGTTCATGCTATTTCTTTGTATCCCAAGTGCTGGGCACAGTGTCTGGAACACAGTGAGCACATAATTGATGCTTTTTGATCGAATGATTGAGGATAAATTTCACAGCTTCTTATGTCCTTGACTTCAAGAGGAAATCTCTCTCCATCTTTAATTTTAGCATTTCCCATTGCTTTCAAATTGGTCTGTTGGATTCCAGAGTCACTGTCTCTTAATTTTGATAACTTCCTTCAAGATTCAGCTCAGATCTCATCTTCTGCAAGAGGCCTTTCCTGGTACCCCCAACTGCTAGTACCTTTCTCTCTCAGCTTACCTTCTATTTACTCTGTAGAGGTATTGCATTTATCTAGTTATTTACATGTTATCTCTCTTTCCCCCTTTAGAATGTAAGCTCCCTAAGGGCAGAGACTGTTGGTTTTTGTTTTGGCCTGGCACATAGTAAGTACTTAATAAATGCTTATTGACTGACTGACTGCCCAGCCCAAATATCTTTACACCGGTGTTCATGAACCATCAGTCTCCTCCTGATCTAGTTTAATAGTAACATTGCTTTTATCAGGTAGACACCATTTCCCTGATCATGCTTTGCCAGCATGGTGATTCAATACACAAGGGCCATCAGAATTACTATACTGAATCCAATCTAGCTTCTGTCAAAATTACAGTAGCTGTCCTTTGTGATGTTGTCCTAAAAGATGCTGTCCTAAAAAGATCCTAAAAGAATGTTAAGCATCTTGACATTCCTTGTTTAATAATCCATTATCA